TTTTTATGCTTTTTTTTTTCTTACCTATTTTGGTGCTCTTTTTTATCGATCACCATCGTAATCCACATTATCCTTTTTTTTTCTCCACCAGGTAAAAGACAATACATATATTGATGTATTCATCTTCATTTTCTTTCTTTGATGACTTGTGTCGTTGGCTGAGATATGACGGAGTATTTGCGTTGTATTTACTATTGTACTTGACGTGCTGATAATAGATGAAAAATGGGTTTATATGATATATTCTACAGAAGAAAAAAAAACCCTATGTGTTTCACTTGTATACGTAGAGGATGATTAGATCTGAATGATTGTATACTTTTCATGATTCATGATTCTCATTTGCAAATTATCACTAATTGCTCAATGATTACTTTCTCTTTTGCATGATCGTTTGATCTTTTTTTCCTCTTTAATCATAGGATCAAGTAAGGCGTTATTGTATGTGAAAATCCTTCATTAACACATAGTTTTCAATGAGATGTAGTACACTTATTCTTTTTTTTTCGTTTTTTTTTCTATTCTATTTTGAAAATGGGTAATGATGATCTATCTTCTTTCATACTTTGCTTATCAGTCTGGTTTTAATGAATGTTTCATATAGATATATATGCACGCGTCATCATTTTGTTCTGGTTATCATCGATACAGTGACAATTGTTTTCTTTTTAAAAAAATTATCTACTTTTTCATCTTATTCTCTTTGCGAGGGTTATTGTATTTATGGATGTCACAAATTAAGACTATTGTCAGTGTCATCGTTACTGTCCGTCTTCACCTTCGTTCGTTTCATTTCATGTCTCGATGCATATGTACTGTACGTTATGAGAAAGAAAGAACATGCATATACTGTACTGTAAAAATATCGTGTCGGCTTTCGCTTTCGCTTTCTCCTCGCTCCTTCTGTTCTTTCGCCTCCTCTCTACTTTTTGTCACTCTTGTCAACATATTAAATACAGTAAATTTTGTTTTTTTTCATCTTCATTTGTTCGTCCCGTCAATGCTAAGTTAAATATAATTTACACCTGATAGATATTCGAATGATGAAAAGTTCTAGGGTATCAAGTATGTGTTTCCATTAAGCATTATCTATCATAGTAGTTTCTCTTCACCTCGATATTCTCCTTGAGTCATATCTTCTTCTCTTCTAAATACGGACAAAAAAACAACAGCAACAAAAATACCATAGATAACAGCCACGATTGGATGAAAGAGCAGCTAACGCGAGAAAAAGGATAGATTTGATCTTAACATACTAGGAAGTTTGTCAGCGCCAACAACAATTTTTTACCATTATTAGTAGCCTCTTCAATAGATGGTTGTAAAAACTAAAAAAAATAACACATCAGTGTGAGTACTGTCCATTATGTTACAAAAACACTCGACTATGAAAAATTATTTTTCTTGTCTGTAGAAAAAAAAGAGCTTAAACTTTGTCTGAGAGATCATATTATTTCGAAGCAAGCAGTGAGGACATTGTGGTTAAATCGTACTTGATTTTTGTGGTTTATTGACGTTTGTGATTTTTTTCCTTCATATATTTGATAATTATCATATCATTGTTCATTTTTTTCCTATTGATTGTGTGGTGACAATTACACAACGATCTTTTTTCGCGATGACATCTGATCCTATTCACCTTTAAGATCGTATATGATAATCAGATTTTATGACATTATATTTGTTAGATGTAAAAATTGTGACACATCTTATTACAATCGAAAAAAAAGCAAAAAAATTTAGACAACTTGTAGATCTTCGTCTCCTTTTTTATTTTATTCAAATTTATAACTAATGGCATCAACTAAAAATAGAGACGAAGGTGGTGTTGGCAATGATACTTATTCAGGTTTCTTTCATCGATCTTTATCCCCTCGTTCATTTGATAGACTACGTACTGAACATAGTGATTATTTTTATAAACCAAAACGTGGTCCATCAACATGTAAATCAAATGTAACAATAACAAGACCAATTAAAACATTTGAAGCAGTAACAAAACTCGTCGAACTATTATCAAAAGGTAATAATACCAAAACATCTAATAAACAAAATGTTGAAGATATGGAATCACCACCATTATCAAAGAAATTTGATGATCAAAGATCATCTTCACATTATTCGAGTTTTTTATCAATGGATGGAGGAGATTTATCATCACCAGCATCAACTAATTCATCAGCATTTTCATCAAGATCAAATTCATCTATATCAACAGTAGCAGAACAAGAAACTCAAGTTATTATTATTGATGAACCAGCACCTCCACTAACTAAAACTGGTAAGACTTTCTTTTCTTGTCTAATATATGTCTAGACGTTTACATTAATACGTTAACAATTCAGATCAAAGCATATTGATGTCGGACATTTTTAAAAAAAACGAAGAAAAAATTGTTTTGTTTGCTTCTATATTACGATTTAAAAATACTAATGCAAATTATAATGAAAATATAAAGTAGTAGTCGGACAAATATTGATTATTTTTATTTTAAGGACAGACATATTGAAATAACAAGGATCTGTTAAAAAAGTTGGATACTGTTTATATGACTATAAAGATCAAATTTTAAAATATACGTCATGAAATAGTAGAATGATAAATAAAACATTGATCATACCCGGAGCAATTTTTTCAACACGAAATAAGTATTCTTATGCCTAAAGATAAAATCGATCAAATCTTAAATATTCTAATAATCTTTTTAAAGAATTTTATCTAACTCGTTAGATACAAACATATTCATAAAATTTTGTTTTTTATTTTTCATTAGCTTCATGCTCATCAAATTCTGAAGAAAATAAAACAATTACTGATGATGAGACAAAACTAAATTCATCCTCTCCATGTCATGTACCAGCTATTGGATTAAATGTAACAGCAACTGATGTACATCTTGTTCTACTAGAACTCTACCCTCAAAATGTTGATTATTCTACAATAGTTTTTCAACGTTATCTTATATCATTAATTATTAATAATGAACATAAAGATTGGTCAATATTAAATGTTGATTTACAAACAACAACTGAACAAGAAGCAAATTTTCGCTTATTTACTTTAACACATGAAGAATTTGATCTTGTTCTTATACATTTACAATCATTCATACGTTATAATTCATTACTAGCGTCATCATTTGTTCTCAATATTGCGTTAACAGGTGAACAAACAAATGAATATGAATCGAAAATTTCATCTCGTTTAAATAAAATAAATTTAAATTTTGATATTATTCAATGTCCTGCTGAATCTTACATGATTGGTTTAGATTTTTTTCTTCGAAAAAAAAATCGAATAAATAATGAAGAAGATGATCTTATTGAAATTATTAATCGTAATCATAAAATTAAACAAGATAAACATGAACTTTATCCTTATATACTTGTTCATGCTGAAGCAGCAAGTACATTTTTTTATATTGTTCATTCATCAAGCAAATACTCAGTAATAACATCAAATAATTTATGCTATAAAACTTATTTAAATTTAATGAAACTTCTTCAACCGGGTTTCAATACAAATAATGATGAACAAATGTAAATATACATTTCTATGAAATTTGAGAAGTTTCGACTGAATTACATGTAGTTAGAAAGAAAGAAAGAATTTTGATATTTAAAAAAACATGTTCAATTTGATAGTTTATTTAGCATAGAAGAATATGCTGCATTCATTAGGATTCGACATGTACCTCAACCATTTTATTAGATTTGTTTTATATTTATCTAACAGTTGAAATATTTCTTGATATTATGCGATAGATAGGTCAAAATTTGTGCACATTTTACAAAGTAATATCTATCATGTGTATTGGTCATCGAAGAATACTGGGAAATAAATCATTTCGTAGATATAGTATTGCTCTTGGTACATGTTGAATCATCTTAAAGATTAACACTTTATGAGTAGATGCGAAATTGAAGTTGACATAGCTCTTACTTTTTGTTTGAGACAGTTCGACAATCAAAAATCTATTACATTACCAGCTTTCATTCATTTGATTCTTAGTTCTTAATTATATGTCTTGTTTTTTGTTCTATTTAGAACACCAGAATCTTCATCTCATACCTCATCATCATCATCGTCATTTACTATTCGTCGATCTCCACCAATATCATTTGATTTTGACCGTCAAGATCTATGTAAAAATTGTCATCGTTCATCCTCAATCTATTCATCACAAATACCAATGACAAGTTTTACTCATTTATCACAGCGATGTTTTCCTAATGATTATTCTATATCAAATAAACCACATTATATTTATCGTGGTTGGTCAAATAGACGAACAGCATCATATGATAAAAACATTACAACATATGATGTTCATACACAGACTGATGATAGTTTTCTGGAATTATCATCATTACAAACACGTTTAGCAATGCGTCGTTCATTATTATCAATGCTTACAATGAATATAGCATTAACAATAAAACTAATATGTAAACTTTATCCATCAGTTACTTATTGTATGTTAACTGGAGAATTTTTTCAATTAGAAAAACACGCTATACAAGATTTAAAGATATTTATTCAATCAGTAATGGGACAAAATGTACCACATATGTGTCAATTAAAACGAGAACCACTTATATCTGCATTTGGTTGTGCACTTCCTCGGGTTTATTTCGATGTTATTGATGATGAAAGTGTTTTAGGCAATGATTGTATTAGTTAATACTCATTTCATATAAGATATTTATTTATATTTTCTTTTTATCTTCTGCGCAAATTACTTTTCTTCTCTCGCTCTCAGGATTTAGTGTGTGTGTGTGTATGCGCGTGCTTTTGTTTGACAGATATAGAATGTAGTTCGACCTATTTTCAATAGGCTTTTTTTTAATTCATTACTTTTCTCCTATATATTTTTCTGCATATAAGAATAAATTGACGAAACAGTCAAGTAGAATGTATATCGCTTAGGTGATTATCGGATAGGTTTTAATTTTTCAATTACTATGATCGTATAGAACCGTAGAATGTTAGAATTAAATATGTACTGCTATCGGCTTGAGATTTATCCTAGAGGTGATGATCAATTCGATGATAGATTTCATCCGGTATCACGTACTGGACTGATTGTCAACATCAGTCAGATTTGATTTGTGACAAGCGAATAAATGATGGCAGATGATAAATCTGTCATGTTGTATTATGCTTATTTTAATGATTTATTTGCTCTGTAATTTTTCTTGATAAATCTCGTCGTAAGGTGAAAACCATTCACAGAAATTAATCACTTGGAATGGTTTCCTCGTTAATAAAATGTACATAACCCGAACACAAAGTGATTTATCATATGGAATATTCTTCTTATTAAGAAAAGAGTTTATTTTTATTATTTATCATATAAATAACATCTGTTTAGCGTGATCAAAAATTAGTTATGAAAGTTGCTCGATTAATTCCATGTCCTCAAGCTGATCTATTAAATATAACACTTCGTCTTTTACTTAATTTATCATTTGATCGTGATATTCGTGCACAAATTGTTCGCATTGGTTTACTATCAAAATTAGTCGATTTAATTGGTAAATTATTTTAATAATAAAATAGAAAAGAAAAACAATTTTTGTTTTTGTTTTATAGATGATGAAAATCAACGTTTGATTTGTTTATGTTTATTATATCATTTAAGTATGGATGATCGAACAAAAGGTTATTTTACATATACAAAATGCAATCAACAAGTAAAAATATTTCTATTTAAGAGTATCTCTCAACACAGTGAGCATTTTTTATATGGCAGACGGACACGGGACTTTTTGACTCGAAAACCATTGGATGTAATGTAGAAAACGATTTAAAAAGAAATTTTCAACAAAAAATATCTGAAGGAAATCCATGCTCTTGTTTTTTTTCTTCGAAATTGTTTCATGTTATATATCATTCGACGCAGTTTAATGAGTTGATTTCGAATATAGAACTTTTATTGATTAAATATATTTCTAAGGCTAGAAAAACTGAAAAACAAAAACTAGATTTTTTGTCGACTTGAAGATTCAACAAATGTACTTGATTTGTCTGTCGAATAGATTAATTTTATTAGATATGAATTTTCACTTTGACACCACGCTTTTCACACGAACTTTTGAGCAACTCGTTTTTAAATTTGTTTGAGCATGGAAGCAAAATTATTTATACTATTAGATAGACTATATTTAAACCTTGAAAAAGTACGATTTTCATTTTTAGAAAAATATCTGCCTAGATGCACACTGCGGGGGGGGGGGGGGGGTTTTAGTGATATTTTTTTTTTTAATAAAAAAAATTTTTTTTTTTTTTTAGAAATGTTTTT